TCTTTAACATATCTTTATTTAGCTTAAATCTCCATATTAAAAGTGTTTTTTCTAAACTTCTTAAGATGGGAAGAAGTTTAGAAAAAAAAAAAAAATCATCTTCTTTGGGACAACTCTTCATCCAACATTTTTTAAAACATGCTCTTATATTAATCAACTTTGATTTTGATGCATTAACAACTTATTAGTCTGAGTAAAAGAAATTTGATTTTTTTTTTAAGTAAAATTTCACATTTAAATCTTGTGAATGAAGAATCAGACGTTAGGAGAGTTTTTTTCCTAATAAAATTCGATGTAATTCAATTTTGAATTAATCAGAATCTAATGTGATTATCGATATTTAGAGATTAATAACAACAACAACAAAAAAAAAACCCCTTTGATTCCAATGCTCCGAGGCACTAGTTAGTGAGGATCATTTTAATAGATAGAGGAGAAGTACTTTTGACATTTCATCCAATCAAATAATAATGCTAAGTTAACATCTTAATTTCTTCTTCTCTCTCCTCTCCTTCACTCAAACAAATAAGTGTTACACTGTTCGAGTTCATGTTTCGATGTTGAGAGCCTGTTTGGCAAAATTTAAACTTATTTTATGTTTAGTTCTTGTAACTATTCTTAAATTTACAAATTAGCACTTTAATTACTTAATAGCATTATCTAATAACAAATACTCTATTATGCTTTTAAGGGGTGTTTAAAATGATTAAGAATTTGAAAATCTAAATTGAAGATATTAAATTTAAATCTTGAAATCGAACGAGAAATAGATTAAAAAAAGAGAAAAATTATCTTTGATTGTATATATAACTCTATTGTTTATTAATTAAGGATGAAAAAGACAAGATGATTGATTCTAAAGAATACCCAGGTTCATAGTTAATGAAACATCATGTTAGAGGAAAGCGTCAATATAAAGATATATAGGTTCCACATCTTAAACTCTTTGACAATGACATAACATAACATAACATCTATCTTTATCAAGGACCTAATGTGCAAAACATGTTACCAAGGAGGAAGACCATATAATATAATCAAAACTGAAATTGAATCATGATGTTGGTCCCCATGTAATCATAGTAGTCATTGCAAGCGAAGAAGGATTAGATACTCTTTTAATCATGCATGTAACTTTGTAATAATTCTTGGTGGGGTATGTTTTAGGAGAAGGTCCTAATAGCAGTTACCACAATTATTATTGCACAATTGAATTGCAGATCTATTAAACCTAACACTTTCAACCTCTCTTTAGTTTATTTTGTAGGGACACTAACAAGATTAGACCTAACATTACAAACGAAGCATGTTCTAATAAATATTGTTCTCAATAACCTTTTCCTAAGATAGTTATACATCAGCTCCCTTGATTAATTAGGATGTTCGCAATCATCTAAAGATGAATGATAACACTTCTTACCTGTCAAATGAGTAAAGGTGCTTGTTACAGAGTGTTCTTACAAATAAGAGTTTGAGATTTCAAGTTAGAAATCTCAAGTTTAAACCTTGAGATGGATGGTGAGAGATTTGAGAACGGAAAAAACTATCTCTGGCATATAGTCCATCATCATTAGATGTACAAAAAAAACAAAGTAATATTATTTCAAAGAGAGAGGTTGTAGTCATTTACTTATCAAACGGTTTGTTTTTCATCTTATAGAGGCAGGATTTGAGTGCTTACGGATTACTGGCACAACAGCATTGCTACAACCAACAATACAATTTGATGCGTCTTTGTCCTCTCATTTGGCCTCACTCCTCCCTCCTCAGGCGTTGACTGTTCCGTTCATCTCACTGAGAACACGGTAGTATGCACAGAAATCTGTGGTATTTCGAAAGCCAGGAATAAAATCTGAGAAGAATCTCAACACTGCAGCCAGATGTTGCGGGTCATTGGATGAAAATGCTGCTTCAAGAAACAACGAGGGCCGAACACCAGTGACCTGCATGATTTATTAATTCTTGTTTTAAATGAATCTTTCTAAACATTTTGCTGAATGTAATGAGATACATACTCTATTAAGAGCAACTTCAAAACAATTTGTTGGATTAAATGAAAACAAATTGATGCAAAGCATCTTACACATGACATGCACACATATATTCTTGCACAGTTACACATATATAAAAACAAAATACATCAAATAAAAAGCAGCATGTCATCATTTTAGTGAAACAAAATAAGGAAGGATTCATTCTTTTCACCAAATCACTTCAAGAATCGTTAACAGAAAAAAGTGTTGAAATTTTTGCACAAAACAACTCTTCTGTGCTCAAAACGAGGTTGATTTGCAAAAAGGTCTTGGATCTCAATAAACATTATTTTACATAATTGTATCAAATAATTAGTACCATTCGAGGAATTTCTTAGTTGGTATATGTTTAAGTACAAAGATTACTAGCCATGCACCTTGAATGGAAGTCAGTTTCCCTAAAGAATGCTAACTCTAAGCAATACTAATTTATCTAATAAGCTGTCCTACACTAATTTGTTTATCCCCAGGAATTGTCTTAGAAAGAATTACCTTATGCTTTCGTACATAACGTAAAGCTTCAAGATAATATCCATCTTGCACCAGTAACAACACATAGTCATTATGTAAAGGATGCTGTCTTAGCATATCCAAACCCAACTTCCTAGTTTGGGGATTTTGACGCCCTGATTCTAAGAGCTGGAAAGCAACTTCCTTTGAAGGTTCAAGAATCTGTAACAGAAGAGTTGCATTCTTAAATGGAAAGATAATCCAACATTAAACAAATGAAGATATATTCAATACTAACCAAAAATAAGATCGAAGAAAAAGAAAATATGCAAATTTGAAGGAAAGGCTTCAAAACCTTGTTTATGATGAACAATCCTAGTTCTGCATATCGTTCACTGCGGGCCAATAGTTGTATAGTCAACACATAAATATTCGGATGCACTTTGACCTTTTCTACATTAGCACTGCACAAAGAAGACAAATAAGTTAGCATGGAACCAAATATTAGCTTCGTCATTTCCCATAAGCAAAGTCCTGTAACACTATCAATTAAAATCACTTCCTTGAACCACCACGCTAAAATGGAAGTTAGGAAGAGACCACTCTAACATGAGGCATTAAACTTGCTTAGATTTGGCCAAACCATGAAATATCACAGAAGCTTGGTTACCATTTTGGCCTGGGTCCAGGCAGTTCAAATTTTTTCATCTGCTTCCAAACTAGTTACTCCTGTATTTTCAGAACAACATTGCTAAAGGTTTCTTTTTAAAATTCAATGATCAATACTGATCTAAAATTGGAATATCAACACCAATTTCTCTCAGTTCATTTTGATCCATTATACACTTCTACAAATTCAGCAACGATAATAATAGCATATTGTGTTGCTGGTTAGAAAGCAAGGCTGAGAGCTTGTTAAAACAACCACCCTATGCAAAATAAATAAATAAATATAAATAAAATTGATCAAAATATTTTTAGAAATTGGAGCACTGCTTGTGCTCAGTATCCCTATGCAAGCTTTGGTCAGATAGGAGAGGAAGTAACTGCTTATTAGATTGAAGCCCAATTTCAGTCAGGCTGCATACTGTTATCTAGAGAGTGGATCATTGACTATTAGTTGCATACCTTCGAAGGAACTCAAGAATGATAGCAACTAGATAAGAAGGTTCTCCAACCATCTCTTCATCAACAGGAGCAAATACAAATTTGTACATCTCATCAGGTGAAATTGCAGGGGTAGCAAGCTGGGTCTCTTGCTGCTCTAAGACATCGTGATTCACTAGATTGTTCACAGGTCCTAGAGTTTGAGGTTGTAAAGATGATGGCTGAGTTTCAGGGGTATCATCTAAGTTGGTTTTCAGTGGTTCAGAGCTGCCAGTATCCTCAGAATCTGAAGCTGAATAAGTTGAAGACCTATTGATGAGTCCACTGTTGTGTCTGGAATTAGACTCAAACTTGATGGATTTTCCCCGTCCATCTGTTTGGCTGACAGACACATCAGTACCAGCTTCAGGGTTGTTAACGTTTGGCACACCTGTGGGTCTCCTCTCAGCCTTTGTTCCCTTGAAATAACTGCCTGTTTTGATAGAGAGAGAATAAGAGGTGACTATGACATCCATTGCCCTACCAACCATGTTGACGGGTCTGCGTTCTAGAATAACTGTTCGTGTAATTGCCAAGCATAGTTGTTTAGCCTGAAACAGTGAAAGCAACAATTACCTATTACTGGCTAATCATTAAACGGTTAGCTTGAATGGAAGGCATTGAATACAACAAGAAAATGGATGTCAGGAAGCATGTCTATCCATGAAATGACATCTTCTCTATCATTTGAAAAGCAAACTAAACATGCACTAGATGATCTTTATTCTTTCTGATGAAAAATTTTTTTAAGTCCATGAAATGAAAGCAGTGAGACAAATAAAGAAAGAGGGAAGGGTGTTGGGATTCTTTACTTTCAAAATGTTTTGTCCTACATAACTAACGGATCTGAAAGAGTTTGACCTTATTTGCTTCCAATTTTCGCCTTTGTAGGAATTCTAATACTGATGGAACCTCTGAGCTACTAGCAGAAATTGCCTGCAAGGATAAATGTATTAAAGGGATGGTCATAAGGCATTAACTATTACATAATAACTTTTACCAAAAAAATATATTATGTAACAGTTATGACTAACAGAACTTGCCTCCAAGTCTAGATGGATCTTCCATAAAAGCTTATTAGCAACATCACAGACAAGGTCAGGAACCAGAAAATTCCAGTCATCCCCATAAATAATTGTTTCGTGATAATTAGCATTAGAGGTCTCCGAATTTTCACTTTCTCTGCCGTTAGATCGAGAGGTTGAACTGTTGGACCTTGGGAGGCCTCTCAAAAGTACAGGAAGTGGGGCTGATATGGGAGCTCGGGAATCAGCAAATATGTCATAAAGTATAACAACTTTTGCATCTACTTGGTGCACAAGTAGTACATTATCCACTACACTAATGGCGACCTTGCTTGAATAAATTGGCAGAGAACCCTACACATCCAGATGAGTGTCATTAAGAAAAATAAAGCCATCATTGAGATACAGTAAAAATACATGTCCAAATTAAAAAGCAGGTACCAGTCATTATTGTATGTGCCACCCCATATTTGGACCAAATGAGAAAAGCAGTAAGATTTTGACAAGATGAGAAAATCAGTGAGCAAAACTTACAGACCTAACAAATGAAGGCTGACTACAAGTCTTTAGCCTAAAAACTAAAAGAATCACAGTAGTAAATATGTTCCACATTATTTGAGCAAAAAAGGTTAAACTCAAGCAACATTTCTCAGGTCCCTTTAGCTGGTACAAAAAATACGTGGCTAAGTAGCTTATTCATCTTTGTATCAACTGGTAAAGCTAATGAATACCAGTTTCTTGCCCATCTACAGTCTATTAAGGGTTTGTTTTGTTCATGTAATCTGGAAAGTTACTCTTGAGTCTTCCCGACTCCCAGTCATTTTATTCTTGCGTAGTTTGCAATTAAATACAATGGCCACCATTTTATTCTTCTGATTCTAGAAATTTGTGGTTAACAAGAATTTTTTTTTTCTTTTTTTCTATAACAAGAATTTATTTGTTAGAAAGAAAAGTAGGCATTGCTTTTAGTTTCCTCTGATTCAATGCAAGGTTAGGCTATTTAAATTTTAATTGGAATCTCAGGGATAATAGGATATAATTGTAAATTGTAATAGGCAAGCGAGTGAAAACATTTTGGAGCAAATTAAGATGACTGAACTAGAAAGAATATCAATCACAGAAAAAAAAAAGGAAAGAAAAGAAAAGAAAAGAAAAGAAAAGGTATATCAAGCAAAACTTTTATTAAGCAAAACTTATATTGAGCAAACCTTTACCTGTTGTACAACAGCATCACGGTAAAATCTATAGCAGTGCAGTAGCATAGCAACTCTATCAACTTGCAAGCAGTATATTCTCCCATAGCTGTGAATATTGAAAATATTGAGATTAATTAAGGAAACAATTTTGTATAAGGATGAGCAAAGGAAGATAAAGAAACGTACACAGTAACAATATATAGATCCTCATCGGCAAGGACAGGCTTACTGTTAGCTTCAGATTTAGCCATTAACATCTCGAATTTTGGCAATCGAATAACACCTCCAGAAGAAAGCTAAACAGGAAAGATAAAAACTAGTCAAACTAATAAAAGAAGTTGAAAGTTATAAGATAGGTAAAAGTTATCCAAGCGTCTTGTGTAGCCAACTGCAAATATTCTGTAATGTCGTTCAGAAGTTAAAGATAAACTGGTGGAGGCATTTTTGAATTGTCTTGACTTAACTTCTCTTCACTTGTTTTTCTCAACCCAAACACACCCTAGACTTATTAGAAGGGAAGGTTGCCTTCCATTATAAAAAATATAAAGGTTGACTTCCAGTGGCAGTACCTATAATCAATTAATCATGTCTTATAGAGAGAAAGGTGACTTATTAAAACGGAATGTAGAAACTCCCCAATTACCTAGGATAGAAACAAAAGGCTATTACATTTCTTGAACCATATTCCCTCATATAAGCTGCCAGGTTGCCTAGTTCAAAACTAATGATGCTTCACACATATTAATACATGTGGAAACATCAGGGAAAAAATACTTTTCTAAATCCAATTTCTTAGTCTATTTTCCTGCTAGAGCAACTAGAGCCTGACCAAACTAAAATTCTAAAAAAGCTAGTAGTGATACCTGAAATCCATTGAAAGTCTTGCACTGCATTCCGGAAGCAAGAAGAAGTAATCTGCTCTCATGTGTGTATACATACCAACTCACATTCAATTTCCTTGTCTCCACCAAGGTAAGTGATTTTGAAGCAGGATCATAAGAATAAAAGTCTAAGCCACTGCAATTGAAATTCATTTCAGTAAATTTAGAACACTAAAATATTTTACATTGAAAAAGAAGGGGGGAAGAAGATATCCTAAACGAGTTTCCATCACAAAAAGCATAGTTGACAACAAAGTGGCATTTTAACTATAGCATTTTCTTAAAAATCAGCAACTTCAAGTTCCCATCACAATGAAAAAAAACAATGCTGAACACACAAGAAAGAGAAAAAAAAAAAAAAAAGAACAAGAAGAAAAAGAAGAAGATATCCCAAACAAGTTTCTCCCCACTAAAGGAAATGCCAATGCTTTTCTTAGTAATATAGTTGACAACAATGTAAAGTTTAAATTTTAGGTGGTCTCAGGCAACCTTCCAATGTACCGAAATATGTACTTAAGAAATCTAAAAGGCTCATATATACATAAAATATATGTATTTTGATTGCCATCAAAATGGCTCATATGAGCATCACTCCAAATAACTTTCACTTTTTCATATTAATTCTTGTTTTTTGTCAATGCTAATAAAAAACTTCCTGCAAGGATAAGTGAATTGTCTCATAGCAAAAATAACAATGGGAAGTGCCTAGTTACATGACAAATATAAAAGCTATAAATACTGTCAACTTCAAGTTGTTTATTGAGCAACACATCACAAAAAGCATGTACCCTGGATGAACTAGGCCAAACTAAAATGCATGTATCCTGGATTATCATGAAATTTATTTGATACAATGGCAAAGCAAAATAATAGCCAGACCAAGCCATTGCCTATTGATATTCCTTCTAACTAATAGAACCAAGGAGATTGTATCAAGCACCCTCAAGATCAAGGACTAATTATAAAGCTTCTATGTCAGTCTTTCTTGCCTAAAGTACTGCACCTCAGTTAAAACCTGTATTATTACCCAACAGCTCAAGGCAAGATTCAAATACAAAACAACAGAAGTGATTATTTCATACCTACAAAAAACGTACAGGAAGCTTCTCCTTACCTGGTCTTTACAACTACAATATCACACAACGGGCAATCTGTCCAGAAAAATCCCAGTATGCTCTCTGACTCGGACTTGCATTTTTGACAGAAAGTTTCACCTGTTTCTCTAAGCCAAAACTGTATCTCGCTGTTAGACCGCTGGACTGCAATCAGCTTTTCATCTAGAGAAAACCTAACAGCTAATATGGGTCCTTCACTAATTGAGTCAGTGGTAGGGGCCGCGAGAGGAGAAAAAGGAACAGTTTTCCATGAAAAGACCTATACAAGGGAGAAAAGAGAATAGTAAAAAACAAAAGAGTGAATTCTTTTTCATCCACCAAAAAAAAAAACTAAATGTACAGCAAAAAGAATAATAATGAAGATGAGCTTGGAGAAATCAATTATTTTCTTTCAAAACAATCACCTGAGTAGATGTCGTGGAAATGAGCAATTTAGTTCCATCATCATAAAATAAACCCATTGATCCAGGAATGCTGCAACGTAGAGGTGGATGTTTGATATAAACATGTGACAGAGCACCGGATCCAAACCCAGTACTTGACTGCGAAATTGATGCTTTCCCTGACATGTTGCCAAAATTCTTTCAACTACTCCCGTCCAATATTTAGATCGCACTCCTAGTATCCAGTCTAGCGTCCAAAGCTCAACATTGATAAAATAGGGAGCACTTAAACCTTTGTGCGAAGCTTTTCAAACAGAAGTACAATGCATGCATATCAGCACAACTGCAAGAACACTACAAGTACCAAATACCCAATGTTTTGCTTTCATTTAAACCAAAAAGAATTTGTTATTGTCCTATACTAAACACGTCCATAAGTTAGAAATAACAAGATACCGTATTCTGCATGCAATTTTTTAGTGCAACAAATTCTTTCACACACATATCACGTTCAACTTGCGGAACTTTAGCAGCTACACAGACCCCATAATCTTTTGGCTGCAAAGATCATACCTTTGCATAGACCCAGATAAAAAAAAATGAAAAGAGAAGAAAGAAACTAGCTGAAGGATCAAAAGGGCATGAGAAACAGAGCTCGCCAACATACCTGTGCCGCACAATTCACCAAAATACGCCTGAGCAGAGACGTCGAGCTACTTTCTTTCATCTCAACAACACTGGGAAAGAAATTCACTGTAAAGCTAAGCAAAAGTAATTGATGATTCCAGGATTCAAATTGCAAAAGATTACATTAGATTAACAGCTAAATTTATGAAACAGAATCATAAAAAGTACCAAATTAAAACCCTACAAACTGATTTCGCATTGACCCAACAATCCAAACAACAATTACAATCACCAAATTGAACAAAATACCTGGAAAATTCACCATTTTTTGAGGATTTGGGAAGTGAGACACTGCGCTTGTTTCTGTAATAAACATGGAGTTTTTCTTCAACTAAATACCTAACGGTTTATACCAAAAAAAAATAAAAAAACCTAACGGTCTCGTATATGTCAAACGCAGGGTGGAACGACAGGTAGAGTTGTCGTTTTGGCCAATTTAGGAATTTGCTCATAGCAAATCGGGCCTAGCTTTTTGGGCTTGAGGATCTAGAAAATTAGAAATTGGAAGCTGAGTGTTCTGGACTTTTTGGTGAAGAGAGTCCAGACAAATATCCAGTTTGACTATCCACGGGCTTTAAGGGCCAATAGATATTGCTCTTAAGCCCATATGGACTTATGTCTAGTTTGTCATTTTCACATTAAAAACGTTTAACATATGAAATTGAGTTACTAAATATCGTTGATGTGAACCATACAAATATTAATTCATGTAACATAAAAAAGGTTTGATCTCTGATATTGACCTTAAATCAAGAATCGAGTTTATGTTAATGGATAGAAATTATGTTAATCTTTAGTTCTCACTCACATTTTGGTAGGCAATGTTGCTTTTACTTTCTAATATGCTCAATTCAAGATGATAACTTTCACAAGTAACACAAGAAATCTAATTTGTTGATAAAAAAAAAAAAATGTAATCTACATGAAGATTTAATCTAGCTAATTTTTTTTTTTTTTTTTTGGTTCAGATAATCAAGTTGTCTCTTAAATTAACTTTTTGTACACCTTAAGATTAATAATTCTTTGGATGATCATAAGGGAACACCCTCCACATCAGTTTAGTGCATTCAATAATATTAATTTTCTTGGTTGTTGGTCCCAAAACTTAACCCTAAACCTAGGATTTAATCTAACGGTTTAAGGGGCATATCTTCAACAATTACACTTGACCAATATTGATCTCTCACAATTTAAGCTAATAAAGCCTCACAAGCAACATTCTTTTCATGCTAATTATTGGTATATATTAGAGAGTTGCTTTCCATTCTTGCTTCATACATAGATCTTTTAAATGAAATCCTCTTGAAAATCCAGCTGTTAATAATGCCAATGATAGTTTTGTCACCATTAGAGTTTTTTCACCCCTAAAAAAGGAAAACCCTTTCCTATACTAAAACCAAGATTTTAACTGAGACCATACAAACTTTCTCTTTTAAACTCATGGTGGGGTTATCCAAGGGAATAATGAAATCATGATTTGAAGCATTTGGCTAAATCTTCCAATCAAAGTCTCTATTTTGGTTATCTTACAAGTCTAATAGATTCCCAAAAAGTTTAATAATGATGGGAATTGCTCAACCATAATACATCAATGTCAAGGACCCCATGAACTCCTTTTCTCATGACTTGTGGTTGAAGTAGTTCCCTAAGTGCTTGATCAATTGCCCTAATGAAGATGACACTGGAAGATTTCCCAACTTGATACACGTTGACAATGTACCCCACACACCTTTCAAAGCAACGAAAGCAGAGGTTTTTTTTTTTTATTTTATTTTTATTTTTTATGGTAATAATATACTTACAATATCATGTAAAAGTATAAATTTACAATAATAATGTTTGTTAAATAAATGAATATTTACAATATCATAGATAAGCTTGTAGATAAAAAAAATAAATTTTATAATATATCACATCATAATTGTAAAGTTACAATGTCATAGGTAATTGTAAATGCATCATTTCTAATTTTTTTAATCCTTAACTCAGAAACCAAATATATGCCCTACAAAGTTGGTGACAATTGACACGTGTGTGTGTATATATCATGTAAGCACTTGATTAACACACATATATGACACAATTTTGATTACATATGGTTTTTGGTCTGTCAAGGGCTGCAATTTATGCTTTCCATTAACTAGTACCTTTCAACTTCAAGGGCCTACTACAAGTTTTATTGCATTGGAAGAAAGACTGTGTGGAGGAGAAAAAGAAGATAAAACACCAGACAAAGGATAGTACTTGCTTTTTACAAGACAGAGCTAGGAGAGTAGTACTTTGTTAATTAGGACCACTCAAGGGGTTGCCAAACAGGAAATGGTTATTAGGGCAAAGTACCATGCCCCACTTCACAATGCATTGGACTTAAATCTTTCTCTCATCTATACATGTGGGGTTTCTTCTCACAAATACCATAGAAAAACAGCAAAGTGAAATAAACATAATTCAAAAAAAAAAAAAAATTGCAAAAATGTAATTAAAAGAAAATGTCGAGTGGTAGTCATGTATCCACCTCACCCATGTTACTTATGTTACACTATCAAGAAAAGGGGGGAAAGTGAATACCAAAACCTTGGAGAGAAAAGCCCTTTATTAATTTCACTCTTTGATTGGGTAATTAATTAGCATTTTATTGGTATTATCATATTGTACTGGACAAAGGAATTAAGATGCTACAAAATGTAGCAATAATAAATATATAATCTTTCAATCATCCAAAGAATGATTCTTTCATTAACAGTTGAGATTTAAACTCAAGAACTTAACGCTAAGAATCAAAGGTTTAAAATTGGTAAATACTAGTAAACTAATTAAGTTCTTTGCTAGTTTGTGATTGTTTCAAAAACAATCATATTGAATTGCAATTATTAAAAAAATTATATTATGAGAACTCATAATCAACTCAACATTACCCTTATTTCTTCTTATCCGAGTTAGAGGAGATAGGCAATTCTTTTTCATCTTTTTTCTCAACTCACTTGTTATGATGATCCAAACACAAATTAACTAAGTATATCAGGTCAAGAGGTATTTATATTGGGGTTCTTTATTAAAATGCTGGACATAATTCGTAGCTTCTGTAGGATATACGTATGTTTCATTAATGCCCAAGAAACTAAAGAAACTGTAGGTATAATTTTACAAGAAATCATTGAATATGTAAGGTCTCTTGGGTCCACATCATGTGGACCAAAATTTCAGTTATGGAAGTAAATGTGGGAACATTATTCATGTGAACGTCGTTAACTCTGCAACTACCAAATTCAGATACTACGGCTCTAGGTGTTTAATGTTGAACTGGATACAACATATATACATATATATATATATATAATATCTCTCTTTCATTATTATGTGTTCGTGAGTACAACCAAACACCAATATTTTCAATAAATTCCATGGTTCCTTGGGAATTCACAGTGGCCCAAAAGTAGATGCTTTGATGTATAGAAATATATGGTGAAAAAAACATATATCATAATCTTTTGGTTTCTTTATGCTATATTCTTAAGAAGTGTAACTTTTATTTATAAATTTGTATTAAAAAAACAAAAATTGACTTTTAATTTGTCAACCGTTAAATTGAATTTATCCACTTGATAATGACACTAAAATTAATGCTAACTTTTATATTTTTTTATATATATTTATGATAAAAAAATTTTTAATCTCTACCTTAAAGAATAAGTTAGAAAAGCCCTAATTTGTTTAAGTACATTGAATTATAGCCCTATTACACAATAAATGACGTTTTAGGGAGATGTGTAGGAATTAAGAAAAATAGCCTTAATTTTAAGAAGGATTTGTCTAACTTGTGCTTAGTTTAAGGGTGTAATAAATGTATTTTTTTATAATTAATTCACATAAAAAATAATAAAAATTGACATTTATTTTAATACCACTAACACGTAAGCGATTTTAATTGATTAAACGAAAATCAATAATTACATTTTCAATGAGAATTAATTCTAAAAAAAATATTAATTACACCCTTAACTTGTACATTAAAGACACAGATTAGAAATTTTTTTTTTAAAAAAAATACTAGAATTGAAGTTAATTACTAAATTACTATATCATTCTATGTAATCATCTTTCTAAATTTAATGGTTTGACGGAGGGTGAAATTAGAGAAAAGAAAATTAAAGATGCATTAAATTTTGCGAACTACACTTAAAATGAAATAGGAAAAAGTAAACTTCCGAAAACGTCACTTATTATGAAGAGAGAGAGTAAGAAGAAATTAACCGGAAATAGTACTCTCATATCATGATGAAGTCCTTTCTGCTATTTTTTTAAATTTAGATTTGAATGTGGGACCAACAACTTTTAAAATTTCAAGTGCAAACCGTTAGGCCAAACCCCCTAGATCAGGACTCTAATTGGATAAAAATTTATTAAGCTTGAACCCTTTTTTTTTCTTTCTAATTTTGGTCTATGCAATTGAAAACAATCAAATTCTATATATTCTTTTACCTATTTCATTTGCATATATACAACTCAAATCTAAAATCTTTGCTTCAATAGAAGATGGATATATTATTATTAGGTTGCTTAGATTATTAACAAATTTATATTAGTTGTTAATTAAAACTATATTTTGACTAAAAGATCCAACTAACTTAGTAATTTTTTATCACTAATTTAAATAACTTAGTGATAATATATTATTTAATTGAAGTATATGTTTCTAAGTTTTAAGTGGATTAAAAGAATGAAGAGTTGTTTCTCATGATATTACTTAAGATAAAATAAAAATAAACATGATAAACTCAGTAGGTTTCTGTGTACTTGTAAACTGCACTGTTGATAAGCTTCAATTCAAGCTTCACGCAAGGGTGATAGATATAGATGTGAACAGCTAAAATTATGGTTTTATTTTGTTTTATTTTCTTTTACCAAAATGGGGACAGAAGGATTTGAATCCATCTTGGCCCAAAATTAACCTTGTATTAATTGCACAAAATTTTAAAAATAAAAAATAAAAAAATAAAAACTTTCAAATTTTGTGGTACAATTTACATCTTCTTGTACATATCACTGCGAACCCATCAATGGCACAGCTTGATTCACATCATATCTACTTTAGATATCAAAAGCTACCTTTCTCCATCTCCTCATTGACTTATTACCAAGATGACTACAAAAATTATTTATTTGAAAAGGTAGTAAAAGGATATCGAAATGCAAGTTGGAAGATATATGCTACATATGGGGGCTATGGAATTGTCTCCCTCTCCATTTTAATCATGAAGAGAATGATGGTATATGGAAGCCACAGATGTCTATTCGCTTCTTTTAAGATAAACAGATT